TGGTGAAACGCATTTCCACAGCTCACACTCTGTGCGCTAGTTGTGTAACACTCCCAGTACACACCATTCATGTCTAACCTCTCAACAGGAACATCCTTCCTACTATATAGTATTGGGAACAACTTGCTTTACCTTCAAAACTCTGCTCAAGAATCACTTCATGCATGAAACTTCCCTTTGATGTGACTACTTGTGTCTGATTTTATTTAGGTAAGTATATTTTTTTATGTTTCTACTGTTGGCTTATTTGTATATTTGTCTTGGGTTTTGAAGTCCTTTCCCTTAGGTCTTTAAAAAGCAAGAATATTTCCTTTTGTTTTCTTTCTTTCCATGGGGTTACCAGCCAGAAGGCATAGAGTCAGTCCATGATGTTGAATAAACAATTGGTTTCTCCATGGACAGAGAAGACCCTTCTGCAAAGCTCTTTGGATCTGACTATCCCCTGAGCCCACAGAATAATTGATACAGTGGTTTATGAAGAAAACTGCAGTTTGTTTTTTTCCATGGCTGAAGAGGCAGGAAACTGAGCACCAGTGCCCTAACTCTATGGAAACTCCACCCATGTACTGGCACCATGGTAATTTTGCTTAATCTGCTTTCTCAGACTAGCCCAAACCTGTCAAGTTCTCACTTAAAAAACTTGCAGATGCATCTACCACATATTTATGCACTTGCATTCATATGCAAAGAAGTTGCTACCAAGATGAGACACCTCATCAAGAAAGCTTACAACTGTACTTTTATATGATGGCAGATTTATTCTGATTTGTCTTCATTCTCTCATCTGGTCCTCCAGAGCCAGGGCCATACATGTGCAGGGTACCTCTCTAAGTACAGAGTACAGTCAATTCTGTGTGATATGTATGGTAACTGGCACCTAAGCATCAAAACTATAACCTAGACCTCATTAGCATGATCCAATCTACTGAACTAAACAACCTCAGCTCTGCAAACTCACGAGGACTTTGGAAGTGAAACAGGTGCACATGCATTTTGGTAAGGATTTCCATTATGCTCAGAGCTGAAAATTTAGACTCAGTCATTAAATTGTTGAGCCAGGAGTCACAGAAACCACCCACACACAAAATAAATAGGTCAATACATAACCCAGACAGACCAGAAAGGCTTTTTAAAGACAAGGAAAAATCTGTTGAGAAGTGTGTTTAATGGGAAGATGAGTTAGGCAGCAAAGACATTGTATGATTAGGGAAAAGCTAAAGAACAGCTATTTGGATGTGTCCTGAGGACAAGTATCTATTGTCATCCAGTGAAGTTACTAAATACCTTTTCCACAGAGGTGAGAAAATGCAATTTTTGACACTGCTAATTTCAATTGTTGATTTAGGGTAGCAGCAGAAACACTACAGAAGCCTTGCAGCCAAATTATAATCATAAATAATTTTCCTCTCAAGTGAGTTGACTCCATCTGGCACTTATCAGCTTATAGGTCAGCATAAATGTTTTCATAATGAACCATAAAATGGGGAAAGTATAGTCTAGACTGGCAGTAACAAATCCTGCTGCTTTCTCTCAGCAACTCAACTGACTCTAACTCTGGGTAACTGGCCAAAACTGATAATATCAGGTCCCAGACATGTTAAGTGGGGACAGGATCTTACATCTTAAGTGGAGTAAATTGTAACAATGGACAATGTATGTACTCAGGGCTGGCTTGTCAGGGACACTGATTGGTTCTCAACACAGTTGCTGGTTGTCCCTCCCTATACCCACTTCTACCCACTAAGCATGCATTTCTTTTTATTCCTCTCCACTCCTGCCTACTCTTACATTCTAAATCTCTCAATTGTTCTCCATTCTGCTATGTTTTTGTCCTGCCAGTGCTATCTACTGCTAAGCTTCTTAGAATGGTTGAAGTTACTGTCCATTATCTATATTGAGGATGCTACCAAAATAGAAGCTCCACAACAGCAAAAATCATGTCTGCATTGCACATAGTAGGCATTCAATAAATATAGACATGCCATGTTTAATATGTTTTCAGTAGTTGAAACACATTTAACTTTTCTGATGAAAATGTATGTGAATATTGTCAAGACGTAATCTATTTTTATTCCCTAACATCCTGAAGTAGAAAAAGTAGGAAGACAATGTTTGTGTCCCCCCAAAAGTTATATGTTGAAATCTAAACCAGTGTGATGGTATTTGGAGTGGAGTCTTTGAGAGGAGATTATTAAGCCATGAGAGTGGGATTAGTGTCCTTATAAGAAGAGACCAGAGCTATCTATCTCTCTTTTTACCACCTGAGGGTATGAGAAGTCTGTATACTGGAATAGAACCCTCACCAAAACTTGACGATGCTGGCACTCTGATCTCAGACTCCAGCTTCTAGAACTGTGAAAATAAATTTCTGTTGTTTATAAGCTGCCTAGTCTATGGTACTTTGTTACCACAGCTCAGTCAGACTAAGACACTGTTTATGGAGTAACAAAACTCAGTATTTCCAGCCAGCCTCTCAATCAGTGGCTCTATTTCAGTAAAATCAAGAGAATAGAAATGGGTATAGAACCAGGAAATAGCTTGGATATCCCAAACTCACTCATTTAGAAACAGACTTCACAGAATTTTGGAAACACATGTTGTATTCCTAATATTTTAAAAATTTTATGCCATTAAAAGAAGAAAAAGGGGCAACTACAATATGAAGTCCATAGGAAACTCAGAGAAATGTTTATCACAGCCTTTTATCACAGAGGTGCTATGTTACAGCTTAATAAACTTGTTGAAAGAGTGTAGGTCCAAATCATAATAGAAAGAAGCAGGCAATACTCAGCACTTCTGATCTGCAAACAAGGAGAGATGTTTTCCAGTTTTGCTCTCCCAGTACTAAATGCCCTGATGTATCCCTCCAAATTCCAATGACTTTGTAACCAGTACAAGCTAGTCAACAACTACTTACTAAGCATTACTCTGACCAATGAAGATCCTTAAACCATTATTGAATTTGTTTATTCCATGACATGTTTTAAATTTAGAGACTAAAATCACCTACTATAAATTCAGACTACTATTTTCAATTTGACTGTTCTTGCCAAGACCAACAGAAAATTTAGAGTAAATCATCATTAGGACAACCAGCATTATACTTTTCAAGTCATCTTTAAGGAAAAGGTCTACAACACTGCTGTTCTTTGGAAACAGAAGCACAAACTACTTCTACCCAGGAGGGCCTTTGCAGACCATTTCTGTAATTTGAATTTAAGTAGAAGTAAATGACTTAGGAAACACAAAGACCTGTAATGTCTTGTAGTTCAAGCAAGTGAAACGAAGTCTCCCACCATCTACCAATGGGATGAATATTATTTTAGCTTAATATCACAACTTAATTTTGTGACATACTTTTTGGCTACTAAATATCAACAGCCAGTCCAATGACGTTTTGCCCAGTTCCTATGTTAATCCAGGAATGCTCATCAGAACCTGCCCCACAGGAAGGGACGTTCATATGCTCCAAGGAAAGAAAGACAAGTAGAATGATGTTATGATAACTTTACCTAATCCCAAAATGTCCCCTTTTCAACATTGAATAAACCTTTTAAATCTATAAATATAATAGCCACATTATAGCTTAGCATATTGAAGGATCTTTAAACCCAATGTTGTTCTTTTTTTCTTTCAGTGTTGCTGGTTATATTTTCCTTGCTTGTTTGTTTTGTTGGTTAGGTTCCACGTATAGGTGAAATCATGTGGTATTTGTCTTTTGCCCCCTGGCTTATTTCACTTAGCGTAATGCTCTCTAGTTCCATCCATGCTGTAAGAAAGGTAGTAGCTCTTTCTTTATTTCTGCTGCATAGTATTCCATGTGTAAATGTACCATAATTTTTTGATCCACTCATTTACTGATGGGCACGTAGGTTGCTTCCAACACTTGGTTATTGTAAATTGTGCTGCTATGAACATTGGGGTGCATAGGTTCTTTTGAACTGGTGTTTTTGGATTCTAAGGGTATAATCCCAGAAGTGGAATTGCTGGGTCAAAAAGCAGTTCCATTTTTAGCTTTTTGAGGAAATTTCAAACTGTATTCCACAGTAGCTGCACTGCTCTACATTCCCACCAACAGTGGACTATAGTTCCGTTTTCTCCACAGCCTCGCCAGCACCCGTTGCTTGTTGATCTATTTATGATGGCCATTCTGACCAGTGTGAAGTGGTATCTCATTGTGGTTTTAATTTGCATTTCTCTGATAGCTGGAGATGCTGAGCATACTTTCATATGTCTCTGGGCCCTCTATATCTCTTCCTTGGAGAAGTGTCTGTCCAGGTCCTTTGCCCATTTTTTAATTGGATTGTTTGTCTTCTTGGAGTGGAGTTGTGTGAGTTCTTTATATTATTTTGGAGATTAAATGCCTACCTGATGTACTGTTGGCAAATATATTTTCCCATATGGTTGGTTTCCTTTTCATTTTGCTGATGTTTTCTTTAGCCATGCAGAAGCTTCTTATTTTGATAAGGTCTCACTTGTTTATTCTTTCTTTTATGTGCCTTGCTTTAGGAGACATATCAGTGAAAATATTGCTGCATGAGATATCTGAGAGTTTCCTGCCTATGTTCTCCTCTAGGACTTTTATGATGTCGCGACTTGTATTTAAGTCTTTTATCCATCTTGAGTTTGTTTTTGTGTATTGTGTCAGCTGATGATCAAATTTCGATTTTTTTGCATGTAGCTGTCCAGCTCTCCCAACACCATTTGTTGAAGAGGCTATTTTTACTCCAATTTATGTTTCTGCCCTCTTTGTCAAATATTAATTGACCATAGAGACATGGGTTTATTTTTTGGGCTTTCTATTCTGTTCCACTGATCTATGTGTCTGTTCTTGTGTCAGTACCAGACTGTTTTGATTACAGTGGCCTTGTAATATAGTTTTATGTCTGGTATTGTGATCCCTCCTGCTTTGTTTTTCTTTCTCAAAACTGCTGTAGCTATTCAGGATCATTTATGGTTCCATATAAATTTTTGAAATATCTGTGAAATACATCACTGGTAAAAATATGGAATGCTTCACTAATGTGCATGTCATCCTTGCACAAGGACCATGCTAATCTCTGTATTGTTCCAATTTCAATATATGTGCTGCCAAAGTGAGCACAGGTGTGGGTTTATTTCTGGGCTCTCTATTCTATTTCATTGATCTATGTGTCTGTTTGTAGATGGAATAAAGTACATGTAAAATTGGTTTGAAAATTTTTGGAAAAAATATATCTAAGTTGTATAATTTCCAATAAAAGGGAGAACAGTTTAAAACAACTTAGAATCTATCTGCTTATTTAAAATAACCCTATTGAATTTTTAAAATTCTAAAAAATCATGACACTAAATTATTAATCAATGTCTATCAACTGCCACATGGGTTCATGGAAAAATTCTGGTCTACCCTAGACAACCTTGTAGTGTCAGATAATAAGCAGTAAGACATGAAAGAGACTGTAATTGCCATTAACCACAGTGAACACTGTGGAACTTTCATCCAAGTTAAGGCAATGCACTGATGGTCGCTAACCAAACAAGAAGGAAATCAACAATGGTGTAACACTAAATATAAACCAGGAACACTCTAAAAAAGTATCTCACTTAATTTACACAGCAAACTTCAAAATAGATATTATTATTCCCATGCAAAATAGGAGGAAACCAAAGATCAACGATGTAAATAATTAGCCCAAGGTCTGTCACTGAGTAATCAGGGAACCCTAAGTTATTTACATGTGAACTATACTACACAGTTTCACTATTGTAGGTTCTGAGCCCTCCCTGGACACACCAATGGCTCTGTTAGTAGTGCTGGCATGCTGCAGAAGAGCACAGTGAGTTTGCATCCAGATCTTGAGGCTCAACGTTGCATATGTGAGTAATAAAGCCAGTCAGAAGCAAAACTGTGAAGTTGGCAGACAGGATCTTTACTGCCTCCACTCTACTTTCCCTGAGGCACCCTGATGCTTTGCAGATGCCTGACACCTTCAGCTGGCCCAAGGCTGAAATGGAGTGATCCACCAGCCTTGCTTTCTCTGACAGCACTGCAGATTGTATTGTTATAATCACCTGAGTGCCCTGCTCACCACGCTGTCTGCTAGATTGGGAGCTTGAAGGACACAGAGAGCATCTCACTTCCCTATTTTCTATGGTACTTTCCCCAGAATGAACGCTCAGTAAATATGTGTAGGAAAAAAAATTATGAATGTTGAACTCCCTTCCAATGCTAATCAAAATGTTCCAAGCCTGTATTTCTACCCTGCAGAGTTTTGCTTCTTAAGAAGACAAACAATCAATAACACATCCCGTTAACTTAAGAAATGACTCACTGTTTGAGCCTCTCAGACATTATGTATCAGTTACTGTTGTGTGTTTTAAAAAGTAAATATAAAGTCTGTGTAGTATGTCCATTAGCCATTTTAAACGGGCATGATGACCCAGGATATTAGAGAAAACAATATGTCAGTAAGATTGAATATGGAACAATAACAATGTTTTAGGGGCACAGCCAGCATTTCACTCCTAGGCTGGTTTAGTTAACAAAGTAGGAAACAACAGGCAGAGAGTGGAGTGAATGCTAATACTACACTTGACATATGTTAATCTCATTTAATCCTCACAGTATTTTTTGAGGCAGGTACTATTCTGATTTTATTGAGGATAAAAATGAGGCCCAGAGAAGTTATATATTTTGCCAAGGCCAAATATAAAGTAAATGGTAGAGATAGGACTCATATTTGGCCTGGCAATAGCTCTTTTTCACTATGCCCGAGTCCAAGCAGCAACTGGAGGACATAAGACTTCATCTATTCCAAAGAAGGTTACTGTGAGGACTGTCAACGTTCTATTCATGTGGCAGGAGATAGAAATAAATCTTGGGATAGAGACAAAAATAAAACCCATTTGGGGATCTGGCAAAAATCTCTCCAAATTTCCCACCCAGTGTACCCCCTCCTTTCGCATAGAAACCCGTGCCCATGGGGACCACAGACTGTTTCTGAACCTGTTCTGGCCATGTATCCCCAAGAGGCCCTCCCCAGTGAGGACCTGGAGAGTTTCAAAAGAATCCGTTTAATAAGAAATTCATTTCACATCCCTTCAAGATGTTTCAATTCTATCTAAAGGTCACAACATAAAAATAAAAATTCACAACAGTATTATGGCTGATTTAACGGAGAGAGTGAAAAGAATGAAAAACTGAAAGACAGGAGAAGGACCTAAACCTTGTTTCTAACACGAACTATGAAATCTTGGATCTCTCCTTGACCATGTTGAAATAACTCAGTTTCCTCAGAAATATAATTGTGATGATGGCACCTTGCTTTTAAGATGCTTGTGAGAATTATATAAGATAACGTACATAAAACATATAGTAGAGGTTCAATGAATTATAGCTTTTATTATATTGGAGAATCCTATATATTAAAAAGAGATTGTTGTTATTATTTCAAAAGAACATTATGAATACTGACAACCAGCCTGAGGCTCACTAAGAAAAAGCTGTACTAAAATAACCTCATTATTTTGCAGTAATCAAAATATAGTTGAATCTTGTGAGTAATGTTATGAAGTCTCTTGTGATTATCCTGGGGCACGTAGACAATAGAGATTGCTAGGAAACCTATGGTTATTTAAAATACTGAAGATTATTTTATATATATGTATATATATATATATATATATATAAAATCAGTTTAGTAGTAAATTTCTAGTGTTTTGCAAAGGCTTTGCTCAATTTTTATAAATGTATTTTTGAATGAATACAAATAATACATGTTCATTCTTAAAAATTTGAAAACCCTAAACATAATAAGGAAGCTATGAAAATCACCCCAAATTCCAGTATTAACATTGGATTTATGTCCTTCCAGTCTCTCCTTTTGTCAGTGTCCAAATGTCTGTCTGTAATTTATGTGTATGTATGCACATACACACATTACACATATGCTTCACTATACTCAACACACACATATATATGTATACATCCATGCACAACTACAAATCAGTTTTTCATTATACACAAAGTTCTTATGACATGCTGTTCACATGAAATCTTTTATGACTATTAAATATTTTTCAGAAACATTTATAATGGCTGCCTCATGTTGCATTTACAAATTTATTTAACCAATTCTTGACTGGAACTTTCATTTTCTTATTGGAATTTTATAATTTTAAAAGTTAGTGATGAATATAATTGTAGACAGATCTTTGTGCATATTTCTTATTATTTTCTAAAATAATTTTATATTCTTTGCCACATTTGTAAATTTGCAAGGGAAAACAGAATGTACATTTTCATGGCTTTTGGTATATATTTTAGTATTGTCCCTCATTTATCAATTTTGCTTATGAACCTACCCATATTACTTAAATCCACAAACTCTAGGTATTGTGATAAAAAAGACCTCCTAATTTGATAGGTAAACATTGCTACCAGATTATTATTTTGATTTATACTTCCTTTCTGACTTGTGAGTTTGAGTATTTTTCACATATATATTAACATAAAAACAATTGTGTTTTTCTTTTTTTAAGAATTGTCTTTTCATAAATATTTCACATAATTTAGTTGCCCTTAACTCATAATTTCAAATGACTTGGAAGGACTCCTAAAAGACTAAAGACATAAATCTTTTGGCAGTACCACATATTATAAATATTTTTCTCAGTTGTTCACTTGTGTTTTATTTTTGCTTAAGGTATTTTGATTTTTGACATTTTTATTGACATTTTTCATTGGTCAAATGTACTAATCTTTTCAAAAAGAAAAGAAAGAAATAACAAGACCCATAAAAAACAGATAACTTTAAAAAAGTGACAGAAAAAAAAACAAATGCACTTCAGTTATGAGCAAAAAATATAAATTGTTTAAACTTCCTTATAAAAAAATAATAATCTCAGTTAGTCAAAAAATCTAAATGCAAATTTATAGGATATAGTTATCAAAAATACTATCTATTAAATGTAAAAGGATAGTAAAAAATGTATCAGTTTAGGGCAGATAGCAAACAAATAATGTTTCAATATTAATGTAAGAAAAATTAGAATTCAAAGCAAAAAAATAATACAGTAAGAAGACAAAGAAGCATACTTTATAGCAGAATGGGAATAATCTATAAGAAATATGTAGTAGTTACAGAACTCTATGGATTGAATTGTTAAGGATCAAAATACATAAATCAAAAATTATTATATTAATATTTCAAGGACAAATTGACAAAAACAATTTTATTGTAAAAATGGAGCTTACCATTCAGTGTTTGACAGTTCAAGTAAGAAAACAACATTAACAACAAGAAGCCAGAGATAAAGATCTGGGTGGAGTTATTAATAAAGATGAGTAAGTAAATGTGTTTCATAGTCTGTGGCCAAAATAAAGTATATCTCTCCCCAAACACTCATTTAAAACTTGTAAAAATAGGGTTAACCTCTAAAAAAGTAGTTTTACTTTATACAGCCTGATTACAAAGCAATAACACTAGGTATTGCTAATAAAGTATAAACAAATAGAATAAAGTGTATGGAGTTTTTTACATAAATACTTCTCAATGACTTATAACAAAAAAAAAAAAACTAAACTAAACTTTATTAGATCCAAATTGTTGCCAGAATCAATCCAAGACTTTAAGTCCTTTAATTAACAAATTAAATTATTAACACATTATATTAAGCAAAAGATGAAGTTTTAATCCTGAATTTGTGCCACACATGGCAATTGTACAAGCATAGGAAAGGGATCTTTTTTTTCATGGCTACAAGCTGAACCTATACTGTCAAATGGTGGGCAAAGAAACCAATGCAATTTGGGGCTATGTAAATAGACATTAAATGACCAGGTAAATATCACAGATGATCCCAATTCTACTATGTACAGTGTAAGCCTTCACTCCTCTTTCATATCCCAACTCAGGGGTAGGAGACATTATATGGCTCAATGGAAGAAGAAATAAGGAAGAAATATACTAAAATGATTGGGAAGAGGTTCCCTGGTTGGGGGGCTCCGTTGGTTGGAGAATCATCCCATATAATAAAAGATTTCAGGTTTGATCCCTGGTCAGGGTACATACCTAGGTTTCAGGTTTGGTCCACCATCGTGTCCAAAGACATACAGAAATT